TTGTGCACTTTTCCCCAGATGGATCAATCTTTCCCACTCCCAAAGTCTGAACTTGTTCTGGGAAACAGGGAGATATGAAGTCATCCATCCAATTGGATAGGTCTCTTTTTGTGCCACTTTGAGCCTCCTTTGACAGTGATCCAGCCACGTCCTCTAGTCTGGTGAGAAGCACTTTGCACGTTTTTTTGTCCACAGAAGTGATCAGACGTTTCCTTAATGGGTACGTCTTTCTGACCTCCTGCGAATTCCTGCTTTTGTTCACACCTGTAAACCCACTCTGGCAGTTTTGAGGATCAGTGGTATCTCCTTGCTCACTGCACTCTGCCTCATTCATATCCATTCTTTCTCTCTCTATTGGTGAGAGAACTTGGCCAGCAGAACCAGCTGGATGTTTCAGAAGAAAAAGTTGTTTCTTCCCGGCATGAGTCATAGAACCAAGTTCCACGCCTGTAAACAAAACAGAAAAAAGTCTATTAATATCACTGAAAGGGATCCATCACCTCACAATAGACCAAATGTCAATTAGGAAATATTTGAGGATGCTGGTTACTACACAAAATATAGCCTTTCTGGGTCATGGCCAGTTTTAACCAATCAGAAAACAGGCTATAAAGAGCTGTGGTTTAACATTAAACCATAGAACAGGACAGTAATTAAAGATGTGGCTGATACTGAAAGCCCAGAAGCTAGGAAGAATCAGGGTTAAAGCCAAAATTTCATTTCACATGCCCTATTATGCCTATGTACTATTCCCAGTACATTACATGAAAGTCCAGTACCCAGTTAAATTGACATGATATTAAATAAGTCACAGATTTCAATCAAACCATTTAAAACTAATTTAAACCCATGTCCAAGGTATAGGGTATAAATATATTCTGTGTATTTTTTTATTACTACTGTAATGTACAGTATTGCTACAAGCAGGCTATTTCACAGTCATTTCCCAGGACAATTAAACAAAAGGTAACAAGTTCACCTTACCAGGTCATGTGAAAGCTGAACTTTAAAGAAAGATAAATGGACAGAGACTTGCCAACTATAAAACAAATTTAATACATATACAAATCTTTGTGCAGATTAAAATTTGGCTAAGTTCTATTGTTCTTTGGTTTAACATTTTAATTGTTTTAAGCATAACAACCTTAAAGTAAGCCACCTGTTCTGTAGAAAGGTGTGTATAACAACTTAATCCCAAAATTATGATTTTGAAAGGAAAAGACTTATTCCAACCTTTCATTCGGATTTTGAGAGAAACACTGAACTAATGAGTAACAAACACATAAAAAGGAAAGTTACAATCATCCGTCTGCAGGACAGGAACAGGTTTTTCTACCTGCATGGGTATGCAAAAGTATTACTGGTGTTTTCCTAGGATTTCTGTTCCAACATTTTGCTAGCTTTGCATTTTAGAAATTATTTCTGAGTCGAGGCATTTTAGGACTGTTAAGACTATATCTGTAGACTAACTCATGACCTCAAATGTTTCAAAGTATGTACGGACTTGCCCACTGACCAGATATATTTTTGGATCCATTGTCTTTGAGTCCATAATTACTGAAATGAATGAGGTTCTTAATTTGCATGTGGGTGACAAACACATAAGGTGATGCCAGTGACTTCAGAAATAGATGCAATTCTGATCTGCCCCAGCACTCCCAAGGAGGGATTCCCAGTGGGAAAAACATCCTCAAAACCTGAATTAAGGGAAGAAACTAATACTTGTTGCATCAGGCTTGCTAGCCACAAATCACTGCTTGCTTGCAATGGTTATCGCAGAGGCTGCTGCAGACCTCAGCTGCTGGTCTCTGGCCATGGGATCCCACCATATCGGAACACGTGGCCTGTGCTTTCTCCACCCACACAGGTAACCACCACCGAGTAGGAGTTCAGCAATATGCAACATCTAAGAGTTGGCAACAGCTAAGAGTTGACACCTACAAGCAAGTAACTTCTACCCAATCAGCAAGTCCACCACTGTTAAAACCTGGGTCAATAAGAGCACCTGCTAATCTTTTCAACCACACACAACTTTCTTAAGGCTGTCCACAAGAGTTGACACCTGACTCACTTCTACATGTGTTAGCTTTTTTGGTTTTGTTTTCTTTTCAAAATTTATTAGTAGAGGGACACCTCTACTTTAGCATTCTTCTACTTTTAACTTCAGTAGATGGCTGGAAATGAGCAGGAGTGTCTAGGGATAAAGTTCTCAGGATCTGAGAGCAGCATGTATAGAAACGTTCTATCAGTACAGAGTTATAAACTGGAACTTTCTGATCTTGCAACACTGATGTTCCAGGATAAGAGTCCTGGCATGCTGCGGGGGATGGGGGAGCCGGGAGCCCAGCACTATGCATTAGAGGGGCCCATACAAGGCCCAGCCGGGCTATCGAGGAGGGGGGAAGGAAGTGGCTCAGTTGGGCTATGGGGGTGGGAGGGTGGGGCAGAAAGCCCATGGGGGAGAAGGGCAGAGGGGGCTGGCAGCAGAGGTGCAGAAATGACCTCACCTGGTCTGGAAATATCCCTCATCTGGGACCAATCAGGTCCCGAGGGTACTGAACCAGGGAGGTTCAACCTGTACCTGAAACAGCCATATATTAATCAACACTGCTGACAAAGATCACACAATATTTCATGGTTTGAAGTTGTGTACTTGTTACTGAGAAATTCTGTTAGTTTCCCCTAAACTTGACATTTGAATTTTAAAAGTAAGTTATTGTCTTGAATTGTATTGGAACATTTCATGTAACCCTACGACTAGGGATAGGTGGTGTGCAAGGCTGGCTAATTCCCTAAACACCATTCATTTTGGGCAAGGTCTCCTACTTGACACCAAAGCTCAACATTATCTTGAAGCTGAGTGGGATTAAATCTTTTCTGTATCAGCTACTTGGCTGAAACAAATATAGTGACTGACGATGAGATTGAGAATGTTCTGAATGTTTTTTATTAGAAAAAGCTGTTGATTCAATTTGGTTTAATCAACCTGATTTTTATATTCTCACTTTTAATTGAGTTATTTGTATTTTATTTGATTATTTTGTTTAGTTTATATATAAAATTAGAAACATCTTTGGTTCAAATATTTCTTTCAGATGTCTTGAAGTAAATAAGAAGCAACTCACACCAATATGCTGGTGGTCCATAGAACTGCCTCATAGACCCTTCCATACCTGGTGCTAGAACAAACAGTTGACTTTTGAGGGAAAGCTGATTTATGTACTGATCATTTCTTTCGGTAAGAGATGTAGAATTTTTAACCTTTGTGGGCCTGGAATGGTAAATAACAGCTGGTTAACCTACAGGGTGGCCAATTCCCTTTATTTTCTCATACACCAGCGAGCAAATTTAACTACAAAGATATCAAGAGCAATAACAAGATCTTCTGTTTCCTCTATTTAAAATAAATGAATTTTGTCATATTGAGAGAAGAGTCTTTGACTCACCCACCAAACAGGCACACAGCATGGGCAGTGGTAGTGCAGCCATCCTATACAACCCTGCCCAGGAGAGAGCCCTTCTACCAGACTGCATGGACAATTGGTTTGTTGTGGTATGGCTATTTCTGTGATCCTATTTCTTCTTGTCCCCATCAAAAGGGCAGAGAATTATCTCCAGATTGTCCAGTCACTTGAAAGTGACATCAACTGTCCCCTTCATCTGCTAGCCCTCTCCTTTTCTTTGCAGGACTAGGTCTAATCCCCCTTGCACAGGCATCTCTTTCCAATATTTTATCAATACAATTAATAAAACAGTAGCATTTTCATTACATCAAGTCCAAAACACCTGACTTCTATAGCTGTTCACATTTTAATATCTCCATCTTCTTCTAGTGGACAGTTACAACAAATTTCCTCAAATGAAAAAAAGTATTGCAGATTCACAAGGAAGGGGATTTGAGGGAATTCTGGAGAAAAAAAATCAGTGCACAATATTTTAAAATTCTGCAGATTTTACTTGCCAATAAATAAATGTGGAGACTCCAGCCTGGCAGAGGGAAGCACAGACTATTGGTAGTACAGAAGTGAGAGTTCACCCTGCAGGCCCCCGCCTCCTTCCCCAGGACATGGATTCAGTGGTGATGCTGTGCCTAACCCTAGGGCAGTGGTTCTCAATTTGTTTCAGTCCATGGACCACCAGGCCAATCAAAAAGTTTCGTGGACCACCTCCAGCACATGTAGCACAGGACGAATGACACAGCAACCGCTCAGCATGATGGCGGGAGCTACACTGATGCTCAGAGCCTCCGACAGAAGTTAACTGGCAACACAATGCGGTTGCATCCTAGGTGATGCTATGGATGACGCGCCGCATGCTTGTCAACACGGCATAAAACAGCTTAACGGCAGCACCTGCTCATGCCGTGTGACTCTGGACAATGTTCCTGTGGACTACCAAAAAAGTCACCATAGACCACCAATTGAGAACCACAGCCCTAGGGTAACTAGTCCTGATATTTGGGGTTCTGGCCTATATAGGTGCTTATATCTCCTCACCTTGTCCCAATTTTTCACACTTGCTGTGTGGTCATCCTTCCTGACCCTAAAAAGTGCAAGTCCCCAAACTCCCCAGGCTCCTGACCCTCTACATTAGGTGCACTAGGTGCAGAAGGCAGGCTCAGTCCTGAAGGATCTAAGTGTGGAGGGATATAGATGTGGGGTGACAGGTTTGTGGGGAGCAATCTGGATGGAGAGTTTCTAAGTGTCAGGGCAATGGGACTTTGCAGGGAAGTCCAAGTAAAGAAGATTAGGACTCAGCATGGAGAGTATGGGGCTTGACAGGGCAATCTGAAAGTTAGGGGCTCAGTGAAGGATCAGGATGCTGAAAGATTGTGGCTTGCAGGGGTGGGGATCCATATGAAGTTTGCTGGGGCTCAGGGTTGGGAGGGTCCAGGTGCGGCAGGCTCTTCAGAATGATTCAGGAACACAGGACATGGGGCTTGTCAGGCTGAGTGTTAAAGTGGGGGATGGGCTGTGTGAAGGGATGGAGGTCCAGCTGCAGGGGATGGGGCTTGTTGGGGGCCTGAATTCAGGAATGGGGTTCAGCAAAGAGTGCTGAGTGTGGGAGGGTGCAGGGGGATGAGGCTTGGCTATGGAGGGGGTCTGAGTATGGGGGGGGATCCAGATGTACAGTGACCCTCCCTTCACCTGCAGCTGAGGAGTGATGGGGCAGGAAACCAGAGACTGATGCGGAGCTGGAAAAGAGTTCTGGGAGTGGACTGGCCCAGCCCCAACTGCTCTGTGCTGGGGTAAGTGTGCTCCTTCCACATCTGGGACTAACAACTGAGCCCAGCATGGAGTAGGAGCCACCAGTCAGTGCTTCAGGTGAAGGGGGCATGGCTCAGCAGAGAAAGGGGATCTGGGTGCGGGAGGCTCTGGAT